GCCAGAACAATCAAATCTGTGTTGGATAAAGTACAGCAGACTGTCCCTTAGAAGCCTGGATGTCAAGACTTTGTCTCTCTTTGGACGTATTACCAGGAGGGATTAGTCCCCAGAGTCAGACATCACACTTGGTATAATGGAGCGTTAGCACTGAAAAGGAAGCACTCCAATGAGATGCATTGGCACAGTGGCAGCAGCCAAGGGCTCAAGCTCAACCATTGTGGGGAAGGTGCATAAGATCGCTATAAGTTGGAACCAACTCAACTGCACTTAACAACAACAATGACCAGACCCAAGCAGGTCCAAAAGCAAGGAAACAGACCTATGGGAAGACACTGAGCAGAACAGGAAGGACAAACAGAGTTAACTATGAAGAAGAGAGCATCCCTAGCTGCAATGAGCACTGTAACCAGCCAATCAGATTAACCAAATAATGGCCCAGGCAATTTTCTGGGTAGCTTTTCAGAGTGTCACCCAGCCTGAGAAGCCAACCAATTATGCCTGATCATTCTCTGCAGCCTCTGCTTATAAAGACAAGTCCACACTGGTCAAATGTAGACAAATGAACAATTCTATTATCTTGGAAAGGCAATCTAATTCCTTTCAAATTTTAAAGTCTCCACAGTCTCCCAACAAGCCTCAGTGGGGGCTGGTGTAGAAATTAATAAGTTCACAGTATGTCCAGCTTGTTTTCATTATCATTTTTTGCCATGCATTGGGCAGGATTTTTATTATTACTCAGGGATTCATCTGTATCTGATTCTTTAAGAAGGTCATATCCACAGGGCTCAGCCATGGCATTGAGAATTGAGTCAAGTCTGAAGGAAGTTTCTTTGAGTGAGAGCAGTTCCTGCACTAATCAGGTGAGGCAGGGACCAAAAGTCAGTATCCTAGGGAAAGGGAAGTCTAAGCAGGTGGTGAGAAGCTTGGGTTTGTCCCAGCCCCACTGCTACCAGCTCTGGGATGCTGTTGAAATGTCATAGCTTCTCTGTAAGTTGTCTCACCTATAAAGTTGGTGGGAGGAAGGGCTGAAAAAGGTAACTTCAATTTATTAAATTTTGGACTCCTGATATGGCGCTGTAGGATTAGCACTGGATTGTCAGCCACAAGGTTGGCACTTCAAACCCACCAGCTGCTCATTGGAAACCCTATACGGGGTTGCTATGAGTCATAACTGACTCAATGGCACTTAATAACAACAACAACTATATATGAATCCACACTTCAGAGACATTCATGCAATTTAAGCAAAATAACAACCTTGGACAACTTTCGTTATTTTGCAAATGAAGACAGTTTAATTGTCCTCCATTGTCACTAAATCACACAATTAGGTTAACCCATCCTAGGGCCAGGGAATGAGGGATGCCTGTGGTATCAATATGGGTGCAAACTCATACAACATTTCTGGAAAATAACATATTTTAGGAAATCTAAAATGTTCATATCCTTTGATACAATTCTGGAAATCCATCTAAAAGATGGAATCTAAAATTTGGACATATAATAAAACAATTAGAAGTAATTGTCCATCAATATGAAAATGTTAAACTACAGAACATTTACTGAGTAAAAAATCAGTTGCAAAAAAGCATTGAATAAAATGGGAGTTTTCATTCATTCAGTGGGAAAATTAAATTTTAGTCCTGAATATGAGGTGTGATAAAAATTTTTGAAGGAAAAATAAAAGAAATAACTGGAAGGAAATATACTAAAATATTACCAGAGGCTTTTGGTGGGTACAGGAAGTTCTTGCAAATTGTCCTCTGCAATTTGTTCTATTTTCCATATTTTCTACACTAAACACTTACCATGTTGCAATCAGAAGATGTACAATGAAAGTCTGTTTGAATGGCAAGTCTGGTGGTTCAAATTCACCAGCCCTGCTCCTCTGAAACCCTTAACAGGGAAGCTATGAGTTGGAACCGACTCAATGGCACTTAACAACAACAACATATAAAACATAATCATAACCTTTGCTTAAATAAAATTTCCTTGAAATCACATTGATTTCTGGAGGATGTTCTAGCAGACTCTAAAAGATAGAAAATAATTCTTTTATACATTTTAAAGGGGGTAGGGGCACAGCAGAAACCAAACACAAAAAAAATGATATGTATAGGGACGTCTTCCAATAAGCCTATAGCTCACCTCCTGAGCTGCACTGGAAATAAAGACCACTGGAAAAGGGTAGAAAAACTGCCATACCATACAAGAACAGTTGATGGGGGGGGGGGGGGGGGACTAAAAGCTTCAATTGCCTTTTAGAAGTGATGGAGTTAGCAGATACGAATTTTTCAATTTTATGAGAATGATAGGGATCTGAAATAAATCTTCAGTATTTTCTTTTAAAGATAAATGTTTTAAAATAAGTGCCTGCAGCATGGATGGATGGCTGGTGTCTATGTCCTGTCATAGAACTCATCATAAATAACACTGAGAAAAATAGCTTTGACCATTCTGAAAAGCACCTTTATTTTTTACTCTTAAGAGTTTGGAAGATTATATGTTGATGCATTAAGCGAACCTTATTTTTCAATGCACCTTTAAATAACAGAAAGAATATAGAAACTGTCTTTGGGTGGGAACTACCACTCTGGGTTTGACTAAGAAGCAAACTTTAGCTTCCTGAAAACCGGTGGGCACAGGCAATAGCGAGACGAAAACTTCAAGCACAAATGAATTTGATGTGCTTATGATTTAAATAAAGTCTCTGGAGAGTCTTCAGGAGAAGTTATTAAATGTCTTTCAGCCTTACAACTAAGGAAGTGAAATCATCTTTTATAAATCCAAATTTTCAAATGCGATGCTTGTCTGGCCTGTGTAGTAGAGAGTTAGTAACTTGTTGTTGTTTAGTGCCATCAACTCGGTTCTGACTCATAACAACTCTACAGAGGGTTTCTGAGGAGCAGGTGATGAACTTGAACCGCCGACCTTATGGTTCAAACCGACCTTGCAGTGCAGTGCATTAACCCACAGAGCCACTTCAGCTTATTCAATCATTTGTTTCCTTTTTGACAATTGGATGAGAAGAGGGCCACAAAATGAGTAATCTGACATACCCCTTATCTGTTAAAGTGCTAGTAACACTACACTGAAATGACTTAATGACATCTGTTTACTTAATTTGTCAATGTTTTTCTCATTATGTTTTAAAGAGGAGCCCCATATTTGAAGGAGTCCTACTATGGCGCTATAGGATAAGCATTTGGCTACTAACCACAAGGTCGGCGGTTCAAACTCACCAGCTGCTCCTTAGAAACTCTACACAGGGCCACTATGAGTCAGAAGTGAGGCCACAACATTTAACAATAACAACAACACATTTGAACGGAAAGGTGAATGAAGTGTCCTGGCTTGGTGGAAGGATCTTTGCACACCAAAGTGAAAGAAAAGGCTAAACTAAGGGAAACTGTGAGCACAAAGTCAGCCTAACAGGAAGACAGAATTCAGCTACCTATTTCAGTTCTGATGCATTAAGATAAACCACAATTCTGTATTCTTATGCTAAATATCCCAATTTCTAAATGTTGACTCTATTTCTTATTAAGCACATCGTGAATGTCAAGCCAAACACTTCCATGACCCAAACATTTTTGCTAGTACTAGTTTTAAAATCTCATTTCCAGGGGGGTTGTTAAAGATTGCCTATCAAGGCCAATATCATTTTAGGTGTGCCAAAGAAGGGGAAGAGTTAGCGTGTTCCTAGGCTGGAACAGAAAGCTTGGGGAAGATACCTCATCTTTTGTGAAAAAGACAGGATAGAATTTACTCTTTCAAGCAGAGTATGGCTGAGTTAGGACTAGTGAGGATGGTTGGAATACATATGGAGATTCCCCAATTTTAGGTGTAGTTAGGTGTTTACCATTCTACATAATATAATGTTAAAGCCTTCTTCTGAGAACTGAGAATATCTTGTCCCACACTCTGCAGGATTCTTAGGGGTTGATCTTCATATAAGTCTGAGTTTCCTCATTTAACCCACCTACTCACTTCTTATTCTATAATGCTCTGTAATGAAAAAAGGCCCTTCACTGCGCTTATCCATTTGTAGTGCAAAATAGCCAATTTTTTTCTGTGCCCAAGTAGCTCATAATGTAGCAGACAAACTGTCAGAAAAAAATAGACTTCATTAAGGTGAAAACCTCGGCCTGGCACCCATCTATCATAAAGCAATCTTCTAGAAATCTTGAAAACCTGCATTAAATTTCCTGTCTTTCTCCTGACAGTTATAAAATGTTAACAATATTAGTCATGATGCAAGCATCTTCAGAAATTCTTTTTCTAATCCCTCTTCCCCCTGCCATCACCCATCCCCTTCTCTTGGACAAAATCGACAGAAAGGCATATGCCCATACTCTTCATGTAGCACTCCTGACAGCTGGCCCTTCCAGGAGACTAAAGCAGAAAATGATGGTAGTTCTATGTCAGTGAGAAGGCTCTTAAGACACAAGTTACATGGAACAAATGCCACTGCCTTTGCATTCTTCCTCCAAAGGCCCTACTACTCACTTAAAAGCTCAATGGTTCGACACTCTACTACTCTTGGACAATCTTTTCTGGTTTTTCCTCCAGATCTTCCTGTCTTTTTCACTCGATAATCCACCAAGTTACAAGTCTCCATCTGCTCATGAAATGTGGGGAGTAGGGATGGTGGACCACACAATTTCTCATGTCAATGGGAAATCTTTCTAGGAGGAATTCCCTTAGAAATTTATGAGTCCAATGTCTCCAAATCCAGGGGTCATTTTAGCAATTCTTGTACCTCAGAAGAAGAAGATACTCATGTCTTATATTGGAAGTGACACCAAGGAAAAAGACGACAAGGCAGTACAAAAGCCACACAAGCAATAAGAGACATCCAGCTGTCACTTCACAAGCTCATCTATGGGATATGCGGGGTATTACAATACTATAAAGCCCTAGCTTGGGCTTCATGAAGATTTCCCAACAAGCCTTCAAAGTAAGCCAAGTTCAACCATAGTAAGCCATCATCTTACCTGCAAAAGGGACTGGTGCATCTTTATCCAGGGCTACGAGGGGTGGATCCAAAATAACTGTGTCATTATTCTCAGTTATGACTCCGTGATATGAGGTCTCGATCCAAGGCTTGTGCTTGTTAACTAGAAAACAGTAGAAAAACAAACAAAAAGATTGACTTTCAAGATCAGGTGAATAACTAGTCATAATAATATCATTAATAGTGCATAGACTCTCGTTCAAGAACTCTATGGAGTATATAGAGCATGTTAGTCCCATTTTATACCCAGGAAAACTCCAGAAAAGTTCAAATAAGTTCAAAAGTTACCCAAGGCACTCATAAGGTAAGGCGCAGTAGTACTGAGACTCAAACTCAGGAGTTTGCTCAAAGCCATGGGTCCCTACTTCACTAAAATCTCATAATTTATATTTCTGGGGAAAAGCTCTCTTTAAAAAGCTTCAATTCTCACATGCTATGAACTATTAATAGGTGTCACTGATTCAGAGTTAAAGTTCATTATTAAGCTACAAACACTAGCAGATAATGTGCTGGGATTTCTGACCTTAATCTAATCTGATCCATCATCGTTGTTAAGTGCCACTGAGTTGGTTCCAACCCATAGTGACCCTGATATAGGGTTTCGAAATAACAACTGGTGAGCTTGAACCATCAATCTTATAGTTCAAATGACTTTGCAGTCTGGCACATTAACCCACAGCACCACACCAGGACTCTTGATCCATCATTAGGAGTTATCATCACATTTTATATATATGTATGTGTATATATATATATATATAGATAGATAGATAGATAGATAGATAGATAGACAGACAGACAGACAGACAGATAGATAGATAGATAGATAGATAGTTAGATAGATAGATAGATAGATAGATAGATAAGGTATGTGTGATTGGCGGTTCAAACCCACCAGCTGCTCCTCAGAAGCCCTAGTCAGGGTTGCTATGAGTCAGAACCAACTTGATAGCACATAACAACAACAGCAATATATATAAAGACTCCTGGTGTGGCACTGTAGGGTAAGCACTCGACTATAAGGTCAGTTTGAACCACAAGGATGGTGATTCAAGCTCACCAGCTGCTCTTCGAAAACCCTATACAGGTTTGGAATGAATTGAAATTGACTCGACGGCACTGAACAACAATACATGTATATATTATACATAGTCCTGGTGTCCTGGTACAGAACTGTAGGTTAAAGCATTAGACCACAAGGTCAGTTTGAAACACAAAGTTAGTAGTTCAAACCTACCAGCTGCTCCTTGGAAACCCAATACAGGATTGCTGTGAGTCGAAACCAACTTGATGGCACTCAACAACAGCATATTGTGTGTGTATATATTCATGTGTGTGTATGTGTATATATGTTTATCTATGTTGTTAAGTGCCATAGAGTCAGTTCTAACTCAAAGCAACCCTATATAGAGTTTCTGAGGCTGCAAATCTTTCCAGGAACAGAAAATCTCATATACACATGAGAGGGCTTCAAAAAGTTCATGAAAATTTTCCTTTATCTTATAATATATGTTTCCATGAACTTTTGAAGCCCCTATTTACAAATGCATACAAACACACACACACACACACACACACACACACACTTGTCTTTAAAGATCCAGGAGACATTTGGTCATTTTCTTTTATGAGCTGACTGGTTCTCTAATGAACACCTCAGACACTTAAAAGATCTACTGAATATACTTATTTTGAAAAGGTACTAATGATGGGTAAAGAACTAGGATTGGTATAATATTTCTGAGAGATTCTTATCTCTCACATAAGTGGATACCCAATGTCTGCCAATTCTATTTCCTAGGTCTCCTGACTGATTTGGACTGTCCCCACCATCTTCTACCAGGAAAACTGTAATGGTCTTCTGACTGGTCACCACTGGGAACTGTGCCTCAATCCATTCCACCCTCTACACTGGCATTAAGAATGATCATTTTAAGACATTTGTATTAATCTGATCATCAACAGTGAGTTCCTTGGTTTGTCCTTCCTTTTATTCTCCAACATAATCTCATAGGAGTCTGGGCACAGAGTCGGTGATACAGAATCAAAATAATAGGTTAGAGGGAGCCCTAGAAGTGCCACAAGTGCCTTGATGCCATCCCTCACACCGTGATTCACAGCTTAAAGGTGTCATTACATACATAACGGTCCCAACAGTAACCCTGTGAGGTAGGTGTAATCCTTAAGAAAATAATGAAGAAACTGCTTCTCACAAATTCTGACTTTCCCAAGACCATATGAATGTGGCGGTTGTTAAGTGACATCAAATGGCTTCCAACTCATAGTGACTCTGTAGAGGGTTTCCAAAAGAGAAACTGGTGGGTTTGAACCACTGACCCTGAGATTAGCACTCCAATGTGCATCCAACAGTACCACACCAGGATTCGACACTATATGAACAGGAATTAATAAAACCCCTTTCACACTCCATAATATCTAAAAAGCCCATGTATTAACACACTGCAAGCATACATGTATAAAAGGTATTTAATTAATAGCCATGTCAAAGCAAGAGTTATAAAACTTGGGATCAGCTCTGTTTTGTGACTCCTGTTACTATTCCACTCCAATATCCTTCAGTGGGTCAATAAGGGATATCCAGCACCCAGGATTAGTGGCAGCCTCAATGTGGGTCACCATTTTATTACTTCTCAGCCATTTCACAGCAACCAGGAACTACCCGAGAGGCAGTTTAGTGGACAGGGAGGTATGACTTGCTGTTCTCAGGTTTGGGCCTTGTGACCCATTCTGCAGATTGCATCGTGTCCAGGGTGGAGAGTGGCTCTACCAGGTTCAGGTCTGACTGGAGTAGCAGCTCATCCTTGCTCACATTTCGGCATTCAGACCCACACTTCATTATGGAGCCCAGAAGAATTACAGCCACTCTGGGCTGTCCCTACACTCCTTGGCTCTTTTATTAGCTATCAACACAAATGCAATGTAAATAATTTACAGCTGTTGGGAGAAACAATTAATCTTTTTCTCCCCCTTTAATTAAACCTAGGGACCTATTCATTAGACATGTGTAGAGAGCATACACCAAGAGTTCACCCAGTGATTCAGATTCATTGTCCCACTTGACTGTGGCAGAGAGTGGAACCTAGAGTTACAGTTCCTGGGAGGCAGCCCTGGCTTAGCTGACTGGTCCTCTGCAGGCAGTTTTGTGAGGCCACTCACAGTTCTTGTGTGCTATTCACATGAGCAAGGCTGGAATACATGGTCTCCTCTCAGCACTCTGCCCCCAGGGCAATGAAAGTGTTCACAAGGGAGGTGGCCCATAGGCATTTAAGTTGAGGTGTCCTCCTTAGTGGGGGACAGGTCTTTCCTTACTTCTCCAATATTAGAGCTAATTATGCATTTACCAGCTAACCTAAAGGTTGTTAGTTCATACCCACCCAACAGTGCCATGAAAAAAACCTTTGTAACCTGCTGACATAAAGATTACATGTAGAGAGGGAGGGCTTGATGGTGGCTAGGGTGGAGGTACACTTTGGACTTCTTCCCTGAGTATCATTGACTCTTATTCATATGGTACCTCTTGAAATGGCTGAACATTAACCATTACCTTTTGGTACAATGACTCTGTGTATTCCTTCCATCTTTTATTGATGCATTCTGCATCATTCAATAATTTGCCCAGAAATCTGCTGCACAGGAACTTTTTTAAGTGTTGAAGAGCAAAGATGTCACCTTGAGAACTAAGGTGCGCCTGCCT